CACATCCTGCATGCCCACTTCCTGCAGCTCCACATCTTGCATGCCCACTTCCTGCAGCTCCACATCCTGCTCTTCCACATCCTGCATGCTCACTTCCTGCTCTTCCACATCCTGCATGCCCATTTCCTGCAGCTCCACATCCTGCATGCCCACTTCCTGCTCTTCCACATCCAGTGGATCACGCTGTCAACAAGACATATTAATTGTTTCTTTGTTACAGGACGACTTTCTGTGAATGTGGCTCACAGCAGCAACAAATCAAAGCAGATCATTTCATTTAGCTTACATGTGCCTGCAGAAAACTTGATCCTCTAGAATTTCTATAGAAACACAGAGACAAATTAGCTAAGAAATGTCCGCAAATTCACATCTGCTCATCTCGGCTGAATAAGTGAAGTTACCTCTGCAGGAACAGTGTATTCCAGGTACAGAAGCCCAGGAGACACAATAAGACCAATATCCCTGCAAGAAGACCTGCATAGTAGCCCCGGGAAACACCTGCTAAAAGAAGAGTTTTTTTCCCCGATTTTTTTCCATTAAGAACTTAAATCAACACAGTAATTTGGAAAAGGCTGCCTTCAGCTGAATCACGCCAAAAGCATCCTATTATTATTATTATTACTTCTAGTATAGCTTAAACGAACCTTGCACTGATCCTTACCTGTGTACACAAAGAGGGTCCCAGTAATTTGGCCATACTGGTTTGATGCCTCACATACATACAGGCCGTTCAGTTCAGAGCCCATCTTTAAAAACACCAGTCTGCCTCCCTCAGGTCTGATTGAAGGACTGAGTACTTCACCGTTCACTCTAAGAGGTGAAAAACAGGGTCAATACTGTACTACCCAGAAACACACAGGACAAAAACACAAACAGATACTGACTACTAAACCCTAACAATGTTTTACATGGGTGTAGGACTGTGACCACTTACTGATGATTAATGAGTCATGTAAAACTGATAAGTAATACTTATTGTCTTTGATAAGTAGCAGCCCGTTATCTGAAAGCTCCAGTCTTGGTTTTGCCTAACAGACACTCCAATATGCACCAGTAGGAGGGAGTGTTGACACACACTGGCTATAAAATGCCTTCTGAAGTGTGACAGTATTTTGAAAAGTTTGGGAAAAAAGGAAAAAAAAATGTGTGAGCAGTTTCAGAAGAGGTTTCCATGTTCATGCAACACAGCAAACCAGATCATGTGAGAAGATGCACCCTTCAGTTCTCAGACAAAAAGCAGAAGCCTCAGAATAAGGACTGAGATCGTATTTTGGGAAATATGTCAACCCACATCATACTTCTATTGTTGTTTTGTTTGAAGAAAATACCAGCCTAAGTGTGGTGCGTTCAGAACTTACTGCACATAGGCTACATTTTCTGCGTAGCTTTAAGGTACTTTATTAAAACTCGATCTGGTCTTTGTTTCAGTTCAGTGTTTTGCTTTGACACAAATGGAAACTGACAAAATGAGTTAAATAAAATACTGAATTGTGCAAAACAAGAAGTGCATGTGCAGTTTTAAATACTGGAATGTAATAATAATAATAATCATAATAATAATAATAAT